TTTTAACTCAGTTTTGACTAGATGAGCATTCTTTGAATTGATATTGATCTCAGTAACAGAAAAGAATTTCTTCAGTGAAATTTATGGATAAACTATGTTAAATGTGCTGTTTATTCCGTCCAACATATTTACTTTTGGTCTCATTTTGATGCATATGTTAAAGTGAAAGAATAAAATTTTATACTGTTTGAATTATATTTAAGTTATTATTACTTAAAATGTTTAACTAAATTATTAAATAAAATATCAATCAATAAAATACTGAATTGAAATTCTTAAAAATAAGCAAAATTCCAAATGCTGTATATTTTCCTTCTAATGCTAGAGCAATTTTATCAAGCATGCAGAACAGTAGTAGTCTATCAGTCATTGCATATAAGAAGGTTCCACTGAATATTTCATCTTTTATCTGTTAGAACTGATGATTATCTTTTAATATGCTCAAAAGTTTTACTTATAAAAGTAACTTTCGTTTAATCTGTAAGTAGTAAAATTAATAAATGGATTTCCAAATTTATATTTATAATCTTCCCCACCCCTGAGTACTGTAAATTTTTAGAGTAATGTTATTTTATTTAGCTAGTTTGATTACTTAATGCATAATTAAGTTTTATATTTATACAGTTTAAAAATATATATAAGAAAGTATATGTAAATGTTTTAGATCAGTGTAAGATTATTTATCAAGATTCAATTTAAACACTTGTATTTTTAACGAAAATATATAGAACTCTGTTAACTTTCTTAAAGTAACAAAAATTAAACCATCAAAATATTCTATATAAAGTTTGCTATAAAAATAAATTGTAATAGTATAATCCATTTGCATCATGGGCAGACTTTAACACTTTGTACACTACTGATTATTACTAGAGCACTTATATGCATTCTTAGACATGTGTAATATCAGTTAAAGCATGGTAAACATAAGTGTTGTTCAAACCACACTAAATGGAAACAATTGCTTCCAGGATTACAGCCAGTGCAGAAGTTTGTGGAAAACTTTCTACTTAAACTGGTTTGTATTTACTTAATGTATACATGGAAAAAACTCAATTTATCCATTAGATTGAATTGAGTGCTTCGTGGTTTCAACCAGTCACTGCTGGTTAGTATTTTGACCATTTATGATTTCAATATTGCAAAATATCGTAATTGTGTCATTCACACATCGTAAAGTTTAACCATATAGAAAAGGGTAAATTTCTTCAAATTACAAAAAAGTTTTAAATGACAAAACTGTTCATAATTTGGTGTTTTAAAATATGAATATATATATGGAAACATTACAATATTGAAAAAACATTTCCTCTGTCCTTATATTTAGGAAACTTATGTAGACATATCCTGTGTGATCCCTGTACGATACAAACTCGTCAAGATATTTCATTTTAAAGTTGCAAATCATACTCATATATTAATGAGCGATATTTCTGCGATTCTATGCAACTAATTATAAAATGTGAGTTTAGAAGAATGGTTTTCATTTTAAAGATTAATTTCTCAGAATAATTTTTCGTGAATTAGAAGTTTCAGCAAGTGTATTTTGTTGATGAATTTTAAATTTCTATTTTTACCCCTCTGGCCTTTGAAATGAATAAGATGTGCTGTTACCATGGCAGAATATTAATAGTTTCATATTTAATCTAATAAAAATTAAAATATCAAAAGCTTTTATCAAATGTGGCCATGTTCTTAAGCCTAACATGAATGCTCAACTAGTTTCAAATGACATCGTAGAGTGTGTTGTTGTAATTGGAAATTTTCTGCCATACCAGTCTTGGCTTAAAGTTGCAAAGTACACCTTTCAAATCAAATATATTATGTAATTTTTGATAATGTAGTGAGGTTTGACAACCTATCAAGGAATTCTTCTAATCTTATTTGAGATAATTATACGATTGTCTTAGACATATTTTTTGGTCATTGCAAATGAAACATGATCAGAATTCATTATGTTATATACTTTATTTTAAATTATTGTAAGATGTATTATGATGTATTTTAAAATTACATTTTAATGTTTTTCTGATTAGTTGCTACAGTCTAAGTTGACAAAAATATACCTTTCCCCCCACCATTTCTGTAAAATGATGCAAGTGGATTAATATATTGAGATATTTTAATTGTAATGTGATATTTTGCTGGGACTATGCTTTGAAAATAATTAAGTTCATATCTGTATAGTAATGCATTAAAAAAAACTGACTACATGCATATTAAATTATGATGCAAATGAATATTAAATGCTTAAATTCACTGTTAGGAGGCTCATTAAAATTTGAGGAATACGTATAAACCATATTTTTCTGTTTTTTAATTCTCTGAAAGTATTTATGTTAGTAATTTGGCAAATATAATTTTTTGTTTGTATGACATTAAAATGTAGTGTTCCTTATATGTTACAATGTAATATTCATTTAATATATATATGCATCATTAAGATAAGTATAATTTATCATTAGTCAGTTTACAAGGGCTGATGAAATTTTAAATAATTTTTTAGTTTAAACTGAACATTAATTACTGCCAAGTCCATCTTTTCTTGTAATTGAATATGATCCCATTTTCTATATTTAAATATAAGTCTATGCAGGTTTTGAGAACATGTGCAAAAATGTCACACTGCCACTACTAAGCCAAGAAAATCTTTTGTATATACTGTTGCAAGTGATATCCTGTAAATATGTTTATACACTAGTACACAGAAACATAGCTGTACTACAGTTTAAACCTTTAAATATAACCAAACCTGTGTGATAAGATTATTGTAATGTATGAAAAATATCATTAAGCACAGATTTAAGACAGCTCTTTTGAGTAAAAAATGTGTTATGCTCAGTCTATTTTAATGTAAAAATGTGGTATTTTTAATGTTTTTGGTGCATTGCTGAGGAAAACACCATTTTTTGTGTTATGCAATTCCTTATATGTGAGATATTGCAAACAAATTATTTATATTCCTTTTGTTTTTACAAGCAGTGCCTTTTTTAGTCAATGTTTGTGATGTTCTTATGTGTCGTTTTATTTAATGACTTCATCATAATTACAATTTAACTACAGAAGTTCACTTCATGCTGTGTTAATTGTAGTTTTCCTTGGTGTACTGCCACTTGCTATTTTTAATTTTGTGGCATGTTATTAAACATGAATTTGTATCTTGTATTAAAGTAGATTAGCTCAAAAAATTTTCAGGGAAATAACAACTGAAAAGTTGTTATTCTAAGCTTGTTTTTTGTCTTTTGAACTTTTTTACAGTAATGTGAAAAATGTGGTGTACCTCAATTTAATAAAGTCAGTTGAAAGCTCATTCTTTGAACTGTTATCTTGTAAATCTTGAATGAATAGTCACTACATATCTGACCATTTTTAATGGATTCCATATCATGATTTTATGTACATATTTTCATTCAAATTTCTAAATTTACTCCAGCAATCATTCCTACTGAGATACAGAAAGAAAGGAATAGTTTTTACTTATGGACAAAGTCTTCTCCCTTTTTGATATTTGCTTTAAGTTCTGGAATAGCTTTTTCAACCAAGTCTTTCTCATAAGCTGAAAGTTTTCCAAGACCTAGATTCTTCTCAAGACCTTTAGACTGTAAAAAAAAAAAAAAAAAAAAAAAAGGGGGTTAAATTTAATTTATTAAAAATAAATTTAGAACAATTGTGAAACAATGATTTTTAATTTTATTGAAAAGTAAATACATTACCCCTAGCTGTAAAGGTGTAGCAAAGTAAGAAGCCTCTGTTTCACTAGATTTCACAAATGCACATTCAACAATATGTTCTCCCTTCATGGCTTTTAATAACTAAAATCCCAAAAGCAATTAATGTTAGAGTAAGAAAGTAATATAACATACATTATTTGAGTTACTGCTCAGGAAAAACTTACAGAAAATGTAAAACGAGCACCAGCAAAGGCCATTGATAATGTTGCAGATCCCTAGAAGGAAAAAAAATATTGTGATACAGTATTATTTAATAATGAAATATGCATTATATAATAAACTCATTTTCTGTTAAAATACTTTTTTCTTTCAGCATATATGTCAATAACTTCACGTTTGTCGCCTAAAAATACTTCTGTTGAATAATCAGAACAAGAAAGATAACATTGAAACAATACATAATAAACATAATGTGTGTTAAAAAATAAGCATATAGTTCCAATTAATTACAGTAGGGAAATTTTTCATTCAAACTGATGTGCTGTGATTATTAAAATTGGACACACACAAGGTGTTTTCATAGGTTTCTGTGCCATTATTTCATAATACAAAGGAAGGGAAGCATTTGAAAAGTATTTTAAAACCCAATGGGCTTACTAATTTTTTCCAAACTAAAAATTCTCCCATGTAAAATATTTTTTCAACCACAATTCTTATTGCATGCCTTTTACTGGAGGATAATCTTATTCAACTACATAATGCTACTAGATATGTCATGACCATATTCAAATATCTGAAAAGCACTAGTGTGTGACAGCAAGTTAATCCTTGCAAACAGAGCCTTAGTTATTTACATCTTAAGTTTTCGTTAAATGCTGGAAAGAAAAGGAAAAAAACAAATAGGAGTGAGACATTTTTATAAGCCTAATGGCTATGCCAATAAAATGGGATACTTTTATCATTTCCAAATAAATAGCAGCTCCAATTAACCATAAGTATAATGTACTCATATTTAGCACCCGCCTTTTAATGCAAAGAAAAGGAAAATTGATGAAATCCGACAATAGTTAAAGAAAACATTCCGAGGTTATAAATACCAAATTTAAATGTCAACTAAGATAAATGAGGTTTTATTAGACAAAGGTTATTTTAAAGTTCAAATAATGGCAGGATAGTCTCTTCATAGGAACATGGTTTCCAGCACACAAGATGTTACGTATACAAATTTGATTATTTTTTTCTTTACAGTGCAGATTTTCAAAATAAATTTTGCACATACATGTTATCTTGTTTCAATTTAATTACCAAATGCTAGAATTTCATTCATACACAATATGCAGAGCACATGCCATTCTGACATAACAATGTATTCTTTACAAAATACAGTGTTGCTTAGCTGAGTAATCCAGTCTGATCTGTGATCATTTTACTCATACCAGAACTGTAACCATGTATTTATCAGTGTTTATCCTCTTCTCCTTTTGCATTTGTATTTCTATTAATTTAAGAAAAAATTCAGTATGTCATCTAAGAGGGAAAACTAAGATGATTTGAAATTCTGAGCAAATGCCCGTGTGTAGAAGTGGATCCTGAGTAACAAAACCCTTTTTAATGATAGCTTTGAAAATTTATTTGTCAAAGAACTCAAACATTGCTTAGAACAGCATACACCTGAAATTTAAAACTTTTTCTTGTTAATACTGTAGGACATGATTTTGAAGCCCTCACAACATTGCTTCTATATGTGAAGGTTTTATTCATCCCACCTGACATCACTCCTTTAATCCAGCCATTAGATCAAGGCATCCATTCTTATCAGAAGCTGTCATCAATTTTAAAGGATATCCATTGATTAAAAATGAAGCCAAAAAAAATGTAAAAATTGCATAATTCCTCCAATTTACATGTTTCCTTTTCCATTTTACTTCCTTGTATGAAGTACAAGTATTGTCATCACGGAAAATTCTGGGTGTCATATTTCAAAGAAAATATCCATTTTGACTGCTATTGAATACAATTTAATGATGCTTTTTGCATGACATCTGCACGTAAGGTCAGAATAAAGAACTCTTTTTTTTTCCCAAATGGATCCAGAAGATATTTTTTCGTGACATGTATGTATCTCTCGTAACTCAAAAGCGAGTAGCCTCAAAACATTCAAATTTTGTATATAGGACTGCTATAACATGCAGATGTGCACCTCTCATTTTAATTGCAATCGGCCACACCTAAAAGCATATATATATATATATATATTACTCGGCTTAGTGACCTCTCAGTTTCTTTATTCTTATATGTTTGTAAATTGTGCATATTTTGCTTTAAAAATCATTGAATTATGTTGTTCTTAGCTTCCAGTTAATATTTTTATGACTTTAGTTAATCTGCATGTTATTAGTTGTAGAATTATCAATAACTTAAAAGTTGTTTAAGTGCAACTAATTTTTGTGCCATATTTGTTTATGTTTAAAACTTGGCAGAATAGCGAATTAAGTCAGGTTCTGCACCAACTTCAATGTCCTTTTACTGAGTGGGACCAAGAGTAAACTAGTTTGGGACATCAAAAAAATCTGCCTTGTTGCCTGCTGGACAAATTGCTTGTTTTTGTTTACAAACTTTTAATTTTAATAGTAATTTTTTTTTTTTTTTGTTGTTGTTTTAACTATATTTGGTGTTTTAATTCTTTCTATATTTTTCAATTTTTTATGAAGATATTCTGAATGTTTTTTCCCCCATTTTTCCAATACCTTGAAGTGAGAACTGAATTACTTGAATGAGAAATCTATCTCTAATGAAATTTGAGGAATTTAAATGAAATGTAGCAAAAAATGTATATAATTTAATATTCCATACAAGAAAGTCATGTGGTTCCACATCAGGTTTTTAATTATTATTTAGGTTTGTTTAAATTACACATATTTTCCTTAATGAGTGAATTATAACCTACACTTTTTTTCTATAGAAAGTTAACTTTGTAGAATATGATTTTGCTGAACGTTAATGATGTAACCCCGTGCCTTTGTCAATTGTTTATTGTATTTAAAATATCATGTGAAAATACACTGGATAACTTTTTATATAGTTATAGTTATTTTATAAATATTTTAAAATTTTCAAGACAGAATTATGAAATCGATTGATTTATATATTTACAAGTTATCAATAAATGATGCCTTTTAATAAAAGTAATCACTTACTGCTCCTGCTTTGGCTTTAACAACTTCAGTTCCAGCTTCTTGAATTCTTTTAGTTAAAGCATCCAATTTATCAGCATCAAAGGATACTGATGGTTTACACTGTGAGATTAACGGCACAATGGTAATACCTGAATGTCCACCAACTACAGGCACATTAACTTCAGTTGGATCCAAACCCTAAAAGGATGTTATAATACATTTCTTAAAAATATAACACTAAATCTTGATTGCTATTCAGCAATTCTTTCAAAATGACAAATGCTAAACTAAATAATGCAATTTATTTTCCAAAGTAATATAGATAACAAGAAGTAAACACTCATTTTTACTTCCTGTACAAAGTAAAAAAGTATTGTAATCACGAAAAATTTCGGGTATCATATTTAAAAGGAAATATCCATTTTGACCACTATTGACTGCAATTTGATGATGTTTTTGCATGACATCTGTACGTAAGGATAGAATAAAGGACTGTTTTTCCCCAAACAAATTGTAAAACTGGTTTAAAATGGATTCAGAAGAGATTTTTTTGTGGCATCTGTATGTTCGTACATACATGTATGTATCTCAGAACGTTGAAATTTTGTATGTGGGACTGCTTTTACATGTATCTGCACCTCCTATTTTGGTTGAAATCGGCTGCATAAAATTATATAAATATATGTATATATATCCACTCTGTTACTCGACTCAGTTTCTTTATTCTTTCTTATATGTTTGTAAATTGTGCATTTTTTGAAAATGTTGTTCTTATCTTCGAGTTAAGGATTTTATGCCTTAGTTAACCTGCATATTATAGTAGAATAATCAACATTTAAGTTGTTTAGGTGTGCTAACTTTTTAGCCTAGCAGCGCATAATCTTTACCATTGAAACGTATCGAATAGTGATTGTTGCAATCTAGAGACCTAGCTTCGCACCAAAAAGTCCTCGTTTATTGCAAATTAAATTATGTTTAATCCATTCTGGAATTATCCCATATATTGACTCAGCATAGCGTTCACAACAAATTAAGTCAGTTTCTTTTTGCGGAGTGAGACCAAAAGTAAACTTTCAGTTTTGTACATTAAAAAATCTGTCTTCTTGCCCCAGGCCAAATTGCTTGTTTTTGCATAGAAAATCTAATTTTAATTGTAGTTTTTTTTTAATTGTTCTAACTGTATTTTAATAAAGATAATTTGAGGTTTTATGTATTTTTGCCTTAACGTGAAGTGAGAAGTGAATTAATTGAATGAAAAATATATCTCTAATCAAATCTGAGGAAATAAGTTTAAATGAAATGCAGAATAATAAATTTAATATTCCATACAGTGAAGTCATGTGGTGTACACATCAAAATTTTTTTATACATGTTTAATGCATACTATGATATTTAATATATAATTTAGCAAAACAGTATTTAAATTTCTAAATAATTTTTCAGCTAGTGTTGCTGGGGAAAAAAAAAAAATCATTTTAAGTAAATCAAAATGGAAAATTGAATTTCTTTATAAATAATGTTTAGTTCCAAACATGAATTTAATATTCAGCATTTTTAAAGTACCCTTTTAATTTATTTATGCTAGTCTTATTTCCTCTTATTTACAGAATAAGGTTTATAAGATCTTTTTCATAATAATAAAGAAGGATTAATTTCTTCCAAAAGAAACTGGAAAATTTAATAATAATGCATCCAATGGGCTGCTAAAAGGGATAAATTTACCAGTAACAGTTTAGTTTATTTGAAAGTGAATATTTTATTATTTATGTAAAAAATACAAAGTAATTAAATAATTTTTCTCCAAAAAATTCAGTGAAAAAGGTGGAAGAATTCTTATTAATTTACTGTTGCGATAACTGCATCGACACTTTTCTCTCAAACATATTGGCCCACTAAGGAAACAATCATTACAATCTGACATCTTATTAAATCAATTACAATTTTTTTTATGTACACATATTACCAAAGAAAGTTATTGCAAACTAAATTTGAGTATGATAGAAATATTTAAATTGATTAGTAATATAGTAGTGTTACATATAAATATATCAATACGA